TATATATATATATATTATTCCTTGAGGTATGAAGGGTCTAGGTTAGAAAGGTATTAGTTAGCTCACAAATTTACTCAATAATATTTGAAGTGTGGGAAAAATGCCTTAAGATTAAGGAAATAGTACTTTAATTTCTTTTTATAAGAATAAGGGATATATATAAAATTGAGCATATGGTAAGATGATAAAATTCATGAATTATGTTATAAAACATATAATAGAAAAGGGTGATTGAGTGAAAGTTAAAATTACATTACTAAAAATTATTTAGATTTATATCTTAAAAAGTTAACCAATAAGACATTCTTTTGTTGTGACATTTAATGGAAAGATAACAAACAAATCGAAATCATTTACATGTGATTTTTTATTGATTTAATCAAGTACTAAAAGTGATACCGTAAAAATTATTTGAAAAGAACAATTTGTACTACTCATATATATATATATATATATATATAATATGCATAATGTCGTAATAACTTTTCTTGTAAGTGTTAATCTAGAATTCAAGTTTTCATTTATATGTATAATTACTCCATTAAATATATCTAAATGCCATGTTAATTTTTTTTCTTTGTTTTGCAAATGATTTGTTTTTAAATGAAAAAAATAGAAAGTTAGAGACGTAGAGACAAGTTTTGGTACGTAGCTTAAGGCTTTCGCTTAAGTAGAAGTAAGATGGAATGTATAGAATGTAAGTTTTAGCAACAAATACACACTAGTGGAAAAAAAGCTTTTAAAATCGGTTATTTTAACTTTTAAAATCGGTTATTTTTAACTTTTAAAATCGGTTTTCTAACAAATTTTAACCAATTTTAAAAGAGTCGATTTTAAAAGTTAGACTTTTAAAATCGATTATTTAACCGATTTTAAAAGTTAACTTTTAAGATCGATTGTTTTATAATCGATTTGGAAAGTTGGCTCCAACAAAAATAAAACTAGAACGGGTCGGTCCAAAACTAGAATAAGTCGTTCCAGCTTGTTAAAAAGGCCTAAAAGTGTCGTTTGAAACGGGTCGTTCCAGCATAGTTTTTCATGAGTTAAAATTTATCCAGAACGGACCGTTGTCCTTTCTGAATGGGTCGTTCTCCTTGCAGCACGGGTCGTTCTCCTTGCAGGATGGGCTATTTTCCTTGCAGAACCCTAAATTCAAAATTTACCAGAATAAACCAACAACGAAAGTAGAGACACGAGAAGAGCATGAGAATGTTACCTTAATACAGTAGTCTTGCAAAGAAAATGAAACGTTAGAGACTTTAGATGAGAGCACGAGAGAGTAAAAAAAAGGAATGAAAAGAAAAATTAAAGAGAATGAGAATGGAGGGAAAGATAAAAAGTTTCTGACGATACCTTTAAAATCGGTTATCTAAGAACCGATTTTGTATACTACATACAAACTCGGTTATTTAATCGGTTCTTAAATAACCGATTTTAAAAGTAGCACTTTTAAGATCGGTCATAAAATAACCGATCTTAAAAGTTGTGTCAGACATCCCTTTTAAGATCGGTCATAAAATAACCGATCTTAAAAGTTGTGTCAGACATCCCTTTTAAGATCGGTCATAAAATAACCGATCTTAAAAGTACTTTTAAGATCGTTCATATTATTTACAAAATTGTCATCGCGTCACTTTTAAAATCAGTTATCTTTTAACCGATCTTAAAACTCTAATTTTAAATCCAATTTTTGCACTAGTGACAATAACCCTAGAGTAGGTGTAAAGCTTGGAGAATCCAATTTACCACAAGTTACATAGTTTCATTATCTCACGTCCAATATATATCATAATGATACCATAAATTAAATGTGTAATGAATAACATGACGATAATATATAATAAATAAACAAAAAAAATGTCTATAACTTTTTATTTGAGAGAGTATTAAGTTAGTTTTTATATTCTCATCAGAAGTCGTATAATAGAAAAATGTCATATGGTAAACTTACAAAAAAATATATGTATTTTGAATAAAGAAAATACATGATTAATTAAAAATTTACTTTGATATTAATTGTAAGCACTAAAATATAAAACAGAAATGAATTTCAACAAATTAACTTCATATTACATCGCAAATTTAGTAATAACACAATGTGGAGAAAACATACAAGGATGACTTTCTCTAAAAGAAAATATAGAAAGAGGTGAGAAAAAAAAAATTAAAGTATCTAACCTGTCAAATGACAATTTACAAATCTAATGTACATTTAAAATCCATCAAACACAAATATACTATAGGTTTTCCAAAAGAAGAAAGAAATTAAAAAGGATAAAGGAGACGCATACCAAGTTCATCAATCAAGTTCTAATACACATTATAGCTTGGTGACTTTCCTTTATACTTGTAACAAATCGAGCCTTTGTTTTTCCTCATGAAACATTCTGAAGGTGGATTTGAATTTTCCTTGCCTAAATGATTTTTTGTTTTCTGAGGGTTTGATTATCTTGTCCTAATATCCTGTGTGTTGGTCTTTGCTAGCGAATATAAAGGCACTTATTCTCACCAATCTAAAACTTGACACACTTCACATGTTTGTTCCATTTTCTTATATTCACCTTCTACATGTCTATTTTTCTCCCCTCTAACTATGAAACACATGTCCTCAAGTTGTTTCATCACCTCGCTTGTTTCTTAAGTTGTGATTGGGCCTCCACCAATGCCTGCTTTACTTTCTCATCTCCCGGTGTCTCTTTTAGCAAGATTTCATAGTCATGTATTGAAGCTTCCCATCTTTCCAACTATATGATTTTGCAACAAACATAACATAAGTCAAAATGTGTTGCATTAAGTAAATAAAAGTAGGTTAGATAGGTTACCTTAGCATTACAATCTGCCCTTCTCAATCTGGCCTTACCATAAGACGGGCGTAAGTTAAGGGCAGCTGTGCAATCATCGATAGCTTTCTCAAATTGGCATAGTTTTGATTTGCATGCACCTCTATTGCATAATAAAACAGAGTTATATGGATCATTCTCAAGGCCTTCTCCATAAGCAATGCATGCCTCAGAGAATTTTGACATCTTGAAAAACGCATTTCCCTTTGCACGTGCAGCTGTGACAACTCGGACCTTTACCATCACCTTGTTTGCCTCTTTACTATTAGAATCCAACCTAGTTGCTTTTTGTGCTGCCTCTAGAGCATCTTCAAATCTACCAACACAATGAATGGATACAAATTACATGTTAACTGTTAACCAATGTGTGAGAGAACACTAGTAATCAGTGCTTTATGAGGTTTTTAGTAGTATTATTATTTACAATTTCAAACAAAATACTAACCTTCCAGAAGCCAAATCAACATGAGCACGTGTCACCAATAAACTTGCATTTCCAATTGGTCCAAAGAACTTGGTACACTGGTCAACATCAAATTTAGGACACTTTGACATTACTTTGTCTGCATCTTGATGCCTACGTAGCTTTAGCAAGGCTTCAGCTTGTAATGCATATATCTTAAAGCCAAAACGAAAGTCATATATAAGTACGATTGACATAAGCATGTGTGCGTGAACACACTTTTTCTTATCGTTCATGAAGATGATAAAATAAAATAAAGAAAAATGTTAATAACATACTTTAAGACATACTTTTATAAACATATTTTTTCTTATCGTTTAAAATTAGTTAGAAATTACAAAATTTAGTATATTTCATATCTTATTTAATGAATTTTTATCATGATTTTATAATATTTTAAAAAAATTAACCAATAAGAGAATATGTGTTAAGAAAAATATGTTAGTGTTACTAACACTCCTTGTATTATAAACTAATCAATAACTCACTTGTGGAGCAGAATCTGCACCAGATGATATAACTTTGTTAGTCTCAGTTAATAGTGTCTTCCAATCTCCTAACCTACGAGCCTCGGTGCATTTGTTTAGATGTACTTGGAGAATCTTTGCTTTAGCAATCTCATCAGGATCAGCCTCTAGTCCTGCTTGTTTATAATGATACATGGCCTTGTTCGCTTCTCCTAATCTAAAGGCAAATCCATGAAAATTAACACACGTTATACATGATAGTAGAAAAAGTAAGAAGATGCATATTCTGCAAATCAAAATGAAGCATGCATATATACTTACCTTAAGTACAAATTTCCCAATCGATTATGGGCTCTATGGTAATGAGACTCAATTCGAATGGCTTCTCTGCATTCAAAAACAGCCTCCAAATGCCTACCTAGAGCAGTTAATGCTGCACTTTTGTTGCTCCTATAAGAAGCCTTATTAGGGTCTATTGCAATAGCAGCATCATACAAAGCCAGTGCCTCAGCAAATCTTCCGTTCTTATAATCCTCATTTCCCATTATCTTCAATTGCTCAGGATCCATTCTAGTAGACAAAGCCCTACAAAGTGATCTTTGTTGTTCCTTGCTTGATTTATCGGTGCTAATATAATCTTCACGTCCTATGGTATGGTTTGTGTATCCTCCATCACAAACATAGTAATCCATTGCACTGTAAGCATTGTTATCTACACCAACTCCTCCTTGCCTAAGGTTACCTAAGTTACCAAACAACATCACGTTGCTAGAAGAAGCTCGAACAAGGGTGCTACTTCCCTTGGACTTTTGGTAATCGTTGATCATGCTTTCAAGTTCACCAGAAATGCCAACAGCTTCTTTTGGAACCCTTCTACCTTGGTTGACATAGCCTTGAGTAGGTGAGGGCCCTTTATTAACCATTATTCTCTCATTGGGATGATGATGTGGTTTCCTTTGGTTTACAACATGTGTTGGCCTTTGAGGATTGGAGACAGAACAAGATGAAGAAATTATGACATCGTTGTACGAATCTTCTGCAACTAAAGTAACATCATTGGATTCTCCACATCGTCGTTTGGAATCTTGGTTGTTTGATGGGGATCCAAGAGTGTTGGTGGTGGGAGAAGAACATTCAGAGACTGGTTTGCGTGACCATGGATTGCGTCGCCGAAATACTGTTGTTATAAAGCTACAACTAGGTTTCCTTTCTGGTGAATTGCCTCCCATTTTTTTTCTTTCTATTATTTTGCTATGTGTTACAAATTTATGTTTTGGTTATTGGTGATCACTTTCTTCCTAAGCTATTCAAAAGAAAAGTGACTCCTAAATATGAACAGGTCCTAACATATCTTAATGAAATAGAATATTATTACAAGTTGAAAACACCCCACCTTAAACACAAAATGAAGAAAAACCGAATTGTTTGACTATTAAAACTTTAATCCAGGAGATAATCTACATAGCCTCCTCCTGGAGAGGCTGCCCCTACAATAAATTTTCTTTGTGTTCTTTCTTTCTTCAGAATGAAGAGACAAAATTAATAGAATGACAAAGAGAGGAAAACATGACGGAAAGAAAAAATAGTAATGGGTAAGTCAAGTATTTTATTGAAACACAAACATTAGGATGGTAGGTTTTCAATTTCTTTTCTAAACTTTCTTTCTTTTACTTTTGTTCCCTTGTTTGTTATTATTATTTTTATTTTCTCAATTGTTCTATTGGTTGTTCGTTTGATGGAGACAGGAAAACCAACAGACCCGGTCGTAGGCTTAACGAGGATCTCTACAATTTTGGAAATGACAATGCTTCATTTAGGAAAACATCAAAGAGAAAAAGGGCACATAAGCCTCACACGTTTCCAGCTCTTACATGTCAAACATCATAACCACCACAAACTAAATAAAGGAACTAATTTTTTATAATCTTATTTTAATATATAATAGTTTTATGCTTTTGGTTCATTGATTTTTTTATATAAAAAAATATTTTTCCAATATGAATCACTTCACGTGACAGCGTTAGAATCATTTTTTTTCTAAAAGAAATATATTTTAAATAACTATAACTCTCGCATTACAAATAAATTCAAGAAAATAATTTTTTTTATAAATTAATTCACATTATTAGTGTTGAATTTGAGGATATAACTGGTAAGCAATATTTAATTTAACCAAAAGTGCAATATTAATATTTATTATATAATGTAATATAATACTTTATTGAATATTGACTTAAATCAATCATAACAAATCAAATTAAAAAAGGTAAATAATACTATATCACTAAATATGATTAATATATTTAGTTAGTTTGGCAAGTCACTTTTTAATTATAATTTACAATTTATTAGACAAATTTAGAGCAACTCCAATGGGAGTTGCTTGTCCTATGAAGTAACTCAAGTCCCGATTTCTTACCATTAGAAGACTCTGACGTGGCAACATGAGTTGCTTGAAAAAGAGAGAGTTGCTTCCTCAAGCAACCGTTCCTTACCAGATTTTAAGCAGATCTTATTGAACATATTTAGAAATGTTTCGGAAATAATAATGATGAAAATTAATTTCGTATAATATTTATGTATTTATTATTGTTTTATTTTATTTTTAATATCTACTCATTGTGTATTTTTTCTCGTAATTTATTTTCTTTCATTGTAGCGCAATTATCCTTTTTAATAAAAATTTAAATTTGGTTCATAAATGATTAGAAAAAAAATTTCTAAAAGTTGAATTTCTTAAAGTTTCTTACCATTGAAGTAAATTTGTGTTTGAGTTGCTTAATGTTTGAATTTCTTACCACTTATTTAACTAAAATAAATGAATTTGCTATATATATTTATCTTACTAATTAATAATTTATTAAACATTAAATGTCTAACTACATATTTAAGAAACATAGTTATTATCAACAATATTATTTGTTCTGTCTCCCAATGACTATATTTTAAGTTTTTTACATACAGATTAAGGAAAGTAATAAATATTTCACTTATTTTAATACAATTTTATTAAAATAATTCAATCTTTCAATAAATGCATTTTTTATTGGTAGAAAATTAAATACAAGGAAAAAAACAAAATTACACCCCAATAAATAAGGATGGCAAAATGGGCTAGTCCAACTTATTTAGACTCATCTTACCATTGATCCACCAAAAATGGGCCAAAAGATTTAAAAATAATAATAATAAAATTATATATTTATTTTTGGTACTTCTTCTAACATATTTCTTTTACAATATCTAAAGGATCCATATAAATCAATGTAGCTAAATAATAAAATAAATTTCAAATTATAACATATTTAATTTGATTTGCTACACAACAAATATCAAATTTGCTACATAATAAAATAGATATTTAATTATAACAATAATAACTCTTCCAACAAATTTGTTGTACAAAAAAAATTCAAATTACATATAATAAAATAAATCAAATATACATAATATTTGTTGGACAACAAATTACAAATTACTTACATAATAAGTCTCATGTAACCTATTTAAAATTAATATTAAAAATAAGATAATAATAATAAGAAAAGGAAGAAAGAAAAAAAAAAGTTGGCCGACAGGCCAACCCTCTTTGACCCATCATTTGACTCGATGGGTTAGGCGGGACGGGCTACGATGTCCAATTTGACCCGTTAATTTTTGATAGATTGAGACTTGTTTTACCATCCCTACTTGTAAATGAAACACTAGATGCATCATCTAATGAAAGATGTCTCATCTGAAGTGCTTAAGAGTGCATAATCACTAAAATAAGTTAACTGAAGTTACTTCTTGATTAGCTAATTAATCAACACATTGATTTGTTTCTTTAAACACGTGAAGAAAGGAAATGTTTTAGGTTAAGGTTGAAAATGTTGAATTTTTCTAAATGTTAAATGCGTTTTTTTAAGTATGATAGTTGAATAATTTATAAAGGAACAAATTTAAAAAAATTATATTAAAAAATAAAAACATCATTTATTTTAAAATATTTTATGAATACTAAAATTGTAATTATTGTATTGCGCTGTTGAGATATGTTGTGGTATACACTCATTGATGTACTTAACCAACAATTTTTTCCCTAACCTCATGTAATTCTTGATTAATCCTCATTTGTGTTCACATTTTCATAATGCACCCAAAACAATGGAGCCACGAGTGTGTTAATGATAAGTCGACAAAGTACAACTCTTAGGTGGCCCCTATTATTGGATCGTCATTCGTCAAAACACTATGGGCCTAATGTCCAAAAATGGGGATAGCCACGGGCCTCGACATTAAACTTCAATTTGATCTAAGGTTCATGATATATACACCTCCTTTTTTCTACAAGTACACCTCCTTTTAAAAAAAAATAATTAAAATTTTAAAATATTCTTAATTTTTTGTTTTAAAATTTTTAATTTTACATTCACAATATTTAATTTAGTACTTTTTTTCACATGTTTTTCTTCCTTTTTTCAATTTTTACATGCATCCCTTATTTTTCCTTCACCCCACCTATTTTGGTAACATGTGAAAATTGAAAGAAAAAAAAAGTGTGTGAATAAAAAGAAGAAAGTAGTAAATTGAAAGTTGAAAGTGTAAAATTAATTTTTTTTTTTAAATTATAATATTTTATAAATTTTTTTTTTGAAAAAGGAGGTGTATTTATAAAAAAAAAAGAGGTGTATATATCATGAGCCTTGATTTAAACTTAATGGATCATATCATTATTGTTTTATTGGGTCATCTAATCCGACTACATGAACCGCGTTGTCCCAAAACCAAATCTCATTTTCCTGGACTCCTAGTTCCTCACAATCACAAACCTTTACGCTTGAGATGTGAGTGTCAATCCTGTGTACGACATTTTGCAAGTTACAAGAAGTCAAAACTCATACCAAACCAACAAAGGAAAAAATCAAGAACAATATTCATGTCATGTTTTTTAGTTATGAAGATTTGCTAGCAGTGTCTAACAACACATTGAGATAGTTTTTTTTTTTTTTTTAGTTATGAAGTGTTTAATTAACCATATAGTTTCAAAAAATTATTTACAAACTCATTTTGAGCTCTACTACCACTAGTGTATAAATGAAATATAAAAAATATCAGAATTTAATTATTAAATTAGTTCGTTGAATTGATTAACATATTTAAAAACGAACATTAAAAAAAAGTATACTCATTTTACTTAAAAATGTGCTAAAATGACTCTCTTCTTTGGGAAAAAATGTATATATATATAATTTCAAATATCAGAAGCTTCGGAAAAAAAATTATGGTTGCTTATGCTTTTCTAAAAATTACAAAAACTTTGGTACCACCACTCTAGCATGACAGCTAGATCGCACCTCAACAAACAACACGAAATAAATAAACATAAAAGGTTGACTATTTCATTAACCATATATTTGTAAGCTCACTTTCCTCTCTCAGCCTTATACAGTAGTTATACTATAAAAGATAAATTTATTTATCAATGAATGTATACCACAACATGTTAATATCAACAAAAATAATAAATTATTAATATAATTCTTATGATATATAATGTTGATGATATATTATTTTTTCTCTCTCTATCTCTCTCTATATAAACTTTTTACATCAACAAAATTATTTATTAATGTTAAACATTATATTATTAGAATATTATTGAATATGTAAAATGTCTATATTAACATTATGTACAATTTTTTAAATAAAATTTATAACAATAAGGCTAAAACTTTTTAAAAACCACTGTTAATAAAATGGATTTCTGTGTAATGTTAATATTTTTTTAAAACTTTCTTCCGTTTAATCTGTCTCGTCTGCCCGTTGATATATTTTTTTTTTGTCAATCATCTTTTTAATTAGTTGTTTTGATTCTTGATGGATGGGAGAGAACAAAACCAGAGAGAAAACCACCTAAAAAGTAACGGGAAGAAAGAAAAATAAATAAATAAAAAGACATTGCAAGAAAATATTCGTAAGATGTAATCGCTGCTCAACACAGAAGAAGCTTTGTGATTTAGGGAATATATTGCCGGAAATGGAATGTAGTTTGTCTCCTTTTTTTTCTGCTTGAGTATCTTATACTTTTTTAGTGTGAGGTAAATATCTTCTTGACATGCATGCGTGTAACATGTTGATTATCTTTCTTCTCCAAGTAATGTTTCCAAAGCTTATTTATATGTATGGAGAGATGACCACTTACTCTTAGAAATAGTTTTTTCTAAGTTACTTTTAATAATCTTAAAATAAAAATAAAAATTTAGTAACATGTTCTTTTAAAAATTGTATTGGATAGGCCATTCGGCCATAACCTCGGTACCCGAGACATCACACAGAACCCTTGACGGCCAAAAACAGATATACCAGAATAGACCATTCAGCACCACTCTTGGCACTCGATTCAGAGGTCGCTTGGCTATTCGGCTGATTGGTCAAGCAAATAGGTAGGCCATTTAGTCATGTCCCCGAAATACCTCGGGTCCTAAGAACTTCACGTGGTTTGACATCCTCGACAGCCGAAAACCGATTAGTATCCTCGGTAGTCGAAGATCATTTGACACCCTTGGCAACTGATAGAGTCCAAAAAGAGGATAATCCCTCTAATGGTTATTAACCATCCTTAATCAGTGGTTAAGGGCTAATTATAGGCACAAAGTCAATTATCGATGTATTACCTAATTTGGTAACCTTAGTACACGG